AAATAAGGTGACTTAAGCGTGGATAAGTTGTAAGTGTTAGTAGATTTACCTTGTATCTACTGCACTCTCTCTTGCCCCAGCCGGCTGTGCCCGGTATCAAAAAAGAGTCACGAAGACTAGAGACTGTATTGGGCGGAGGCGGTCAGAGCCGCAACACCTGACTCGGTTCCCACGGTGTGGGAATGGCATAAAGGCTACAGGTGGGGCATGGGCCTGCACCTACGCGTGGCACCAATGACTCCCCCATGTTTTGCATATGTTATGAAAGCGCAACCCGGATAAGACATGTCGTGTCCTGATTTAGATCTGGTGGTGGTCCAACGCATGTACCCCGTGGCCTGTTTGGTGGTACAATCCGGATAATCACCCACTAAAGGTCAAATAAAATTAACCGAACTAGAGTTAATTCAATTTTTTTAGATAACTATAAACATACTACTACCTTGGTTTAAATACATCGTTTTGTTATCACTGGGAAGTTCACAAAGCGAGTGCAGTAGATGGGTTGTTTACTGTTATCTAGCAAATACCACACTTTTTTAACATAGATGTTTCACTATCAGTTCCTTGCATGTGGCACACTAAACCTACCTGGAAAAATTATTGCAACTTAACTACTTTTCGTGTTTTGGCTAATTCTACTGTGCAATAAAATGTGGCCCGATGCTGGGGTTTTCCAGTTTAAGTCCATCCAAAGACTGAGAGAACTCCACCTGTAAATGCTAAATACAATCACAATGAGTAAGTATTAAAGGTAGACTACAGTGTGCAAACATAGTCATGCGATCAGGAATTGCAAAGACATACCTGGGTTCTGAGATGCGAATAAATTGGTGATTTTATTAAAATAACGGTCAAGCTATATTTAGGAACTCGGACGCAGTAAATCTTTCGTTATTAAGTGTCAATGTTCCATGCCAATGGGGGCAGGTGGTACATAAAGCCTTCCAACACATTCCAATAGTACATACTGTCCCTAACAACTACATTTGTATGAAAAGTAGGCTGTTCGTCGGTTAATCAGCCATTCCCTAGACCACAAAGAAAGAAATTAGATTCCTGGCAACTAACAAGTACATAGCGCAGATGAATTGCACATAAAGGATACCTTTAATAGAAAACGATTCTACTGCCTTACCTCGGGAGACTTGAGAGAAATCGGAGCGGTAATATCTTTGTCAGTACTTAACAGGCGTTTAATGTAATCCAGGCGGTCCTCCTGTGACGTCTTTTTATTCACAGAGGTCACTTGGACCTTTATGGGGGCCGGTCCGGAAATAAAGGGCTCCATCAGTTTCTTTGGTACAGAGCCTATCTGATGATTGAAGAGGAGTGAAGGTAAGAAAAGATTGTCAAACCTTGTCCAACACCTCCCCAAAAGTGCTCGCCTGTGCCCAGATAGAGTAGACCGACTTGATGAGGACACTCCGCTCAATCAGTTTATTAGCTTTTTCATCGTTTGGGCACTTGACCAGAATGTATGGCTCACTCCAGTCAACATCAGCAGCGATGCAGCCTTGATCGAGGTCATTTAATTGCAAAAGAGAACGGACTTCCAACTCTCGAAAATTGACGAATTCCTGTGCGGAAAATGACAGCAGATACTGCATTGCTGTCAGAGGATTGAGGGAATAGTGAGGATGAAATTGCAATCACCTTGTAACAGCTAGCCCACTTCTAAATATGAAAACATTATGATTAAATTCAAAAACGCACAAAAATCGAGGGTATGATGAAATCACGAGGTGATCACTGCGTGTCATCAATTATGCTCCTTTGTCTGACGCTGTGATCAGAACTTTATCGGTATAATATTTCACCTGAAGCCTTGTCATTCCCCTGTTCAAAAGTCAAGTAAAAGCAGCAAAAGGGGTTTCTTTTTATTTGGACGAACCCCTAGGACAGGTCGAACAGTGTTCTCGAAGGACACTCGTGTTTTGGATAAGTTGAATAATAGTTTATCTGATTCCGGAGTGCATGATATCAGTCGTAAATACTTATGGACATTAGAAAAATAAGGACAGGCGGGCTGCGAGTCCGAGGAAGATGCATTTGATGACGGCCAACTTTAGCCATGTCGTAATAATATACTGACTTAATACTTTTCTCAGGCAACGGATATGCAAAATCGGAAACCAATAGAATACGCTTATGGGTATTGTTGCTGCATGCTCCGTGGCTGCAAAAGCGTCAAATCTTAGTCTTCTTACTTAGCAGCGGGCTTT